GTTCTAATCTAAGTTGCCTAAATCTTATTGGCCATATGCAACACTTCATGCTACCTATCTAATCAATTGTATACCTATTTTGATATTTAACAATCCTTCCCCCTTTGAACGTCTGCATGGTTAGGTATTTAATCTTTGTACCTTGTATACATTTGGCTTATTATGTTATTTGAGCACTTCAGTTATTAAGAGACACAAGTAGTACACAATGTGCTTTACTTAGGTAAAAACTGGTTTAAAAGGTTTCATTGTTTTAAATCTTTCTATTAAGGAGATTATTGTTTCTCGCAATGACTCAATCTTTCCTTTTCAAGTGTTCAATAAATTGATCTCCACCACTTTTTCCTACTTAAATCTATTTGGAAGATGATACTTAACCTCTATGCTCCAGACCCCTAACAACATTGCTAAATCTGATGATGATGTTCTAAATGATCCTCAAGATTATGGATCTCAAGATGATCCTCATGTGACCTAGATATTTACCTCAACTTCGTAATAGTCAACTAGACCAAAATGACTACCAACACACCTTGATAATTATATTTGTAGCTTGATACTCACTAAATATATGTATTCGCTTTCATCTTTCATATTATATGGTAATTTCTCCTTATCATTTTATCGATACACACTTTCTTTATCAACCATCAAGGAGCCTACTTCATAAATTGAAACTTGTAAGCATTGTTGTTGGAAAGAGGCTATGGTTGCTGAACTATAGGCTCTCGAATCTAGTAAGACTTGGATTCTCATAGACCTCATTTTGAATATAATGTCTATTAGAAATAAATAGGTATATAAAATAAAACACAAAACAGATTGTACAATTAAATGATTCAAAGCATGTCTAATGGCAAAATTGTATAACCAAATTGAAGAGCTTGACTATTTTGATACTTTCATACTAGTTCCAAAACTATTTATTGTTCGGATACTCTTGACATTTACACCAACTTGACATTAATAATGCATTTCTTCATGGATATCTATAAGAGGACACATAAATGATGGTACCTCAAAGAGTAGTCACTTCTAAACCTAATCAAGTTTGTAAATTACTTAAATAATCTCTTTACGAACTCAAACAAGCTAACAAAAAATGAATTGAAAAGTTAACTAGTATTTTGTTTTATCACAGACACACTCAAGCTCATGTAGATCATTCTCTCTTTGTTAAAACAACTACATATTCCTTTATGATTTTGCTCATCTATGTTAGTGACATCATTCTTGTTGGAGATTCTCTTTTAAAGTTTTTAACAATCAAGAATGTTTTATTCTCTTTCTTTTAGATTGAGATCTTAGAACTTTAAATTTTTTCCTTGGTCTTGAGGTAACTCACTCTTATTTTGGTATAACTGTTTGTCAAAGCAAGCATTGCCTTGACTTTCTAGTAGATATTGGACTTAATCATTGTAAACCAACTAATTCTCTTCTGAATCCTACAATACGCTTTCAAGATTCTAGAACTTTATTTCAAGACACTTGCTTGTTGTTGCCTTGTTAGACGATTATTGTATTCGACAATTTCATGCCTTGATATCTCCTTTGCCACTTAACAACTTAGCCAATTTATGGCTAAATCCATTGAAGTTCATCATTGTGCAACTCTAAGTTCTTTTGTTATTTCAAAAATGCTTTAAGAAAAGTTTTATTCTTCCCTTGTAGTATTGATGTCCAATTGCTAAGATTCTCAGATACTGAGTAGGGAGGCTGTATTGACAACCAATGATCTATTTTTTGTTATTGTTTTTTAAGGACGGTCTCTTTCTTAGTATTCAAAGAACTAATTCGTCATATCACGATCATCCACCAAGGTAGAATATCGAGTACTTGTATTTGTCACTATTATGTTGCAATGGCTAACTTATCTTTTCAACAATTTGAAGATCTCTTTAACATAACCTTCAACATTCTACTGTGACCACTCTTCACATTATTGTTAATCATTTTTTTTCATGAATGAATGAAACACTTGAACATTGATTGATATATTGTTCACAAAAAACTCATGTAGAGTCATGTGACTCCTTTCAATTTTCACTCCTTATAACATATTTACTCAAAACCTCACTAATTTCATGCACTTCTTTTCAAGCATCCTCCAACTTGTGAAAGGGATAATGGCTGTAACAGCCGATGATCAAGATTTAATATAAATCAATTGGACTGCCTCAATTGTTATTAATAATACATATTTTTAACTATTTTAGTTTCTTTTCTTATCTTTAAGTAAGTAATCAATTAGGACATACATTTTTGTTTTCTTATATAAATCTTATTTAATTGCATTCTTTCATGTAATGAAATGAAAATGCAATTTTTTATTTTTAATGTTCTATTTCACATATTAATTTTATTTCGTATAATTATTTTAATAATGTGTTGTAATAGAAAGTTATAAATTATTATAATGAGTTATAAGCTATAATATATATCAATTTTAAAACATTAAAATGACATTTTTCTAAAAAGATATAGTATATTCATATTTTATTTGAATTACTAGTAGGCGTAAGTTATATTGACTGAATTACATTAATATATATATTTAATTATTTTTTAATTATTATTATTATTATTATTATTATTATTATTTATTTCTATTTTCACACATTCTTGGTGAACAAATGCAATTTTTTTTCACCATATTGATTTATCTTTCTGCAGTAATAATAATGTCGAAAACCAACTCAACTAAAGGGAGGGGTTTGAATAGATTTTGCGTTTGTTTCAACAGATTTATTATAAACTATAACATTATTCTACTAAAATTGTTTTTTTAAACAAATGTATGTACTTTTTTTTTTCTGTCTGTTCATTGCTTACCGTTCTAATACATAGATTCAGAAAATCAGTTAATTAATTAATTTTAATTAAAAATATCTATAATTATAATAGTTTTTTATATCTCTTACTTTTTTTATACACGGGTAATTATATATATATAAGAATTTTCTTACACTAGTATAAATTTAAAAAATTTTACATTTGATATGAGTTTTTTTTATTTAATTTACATTTAACGAATTATAATTTATTATTTTATTAGCTAATAGATGTAAGTTAAATAAAAAGTTTGGATCAAGTGTAAAATCCTTCTCCAATCTCTGATTTCTCATGAACATGTTTGGCATAGTATATACAACTACAGAATTAGAAGAAGAAAAAAAGTTGAGCCTGCTGGAAACAGATAATCGAATGCTTCCAAAGCTACCGATTTACCTCAAGAAATTATCATTGTTGTATATTTAATGGAAACTCGGTCTCCTTAATTATTAGATTTTCTAATAATCTCAATTTTTCTTCAGGAATTTGATGAGATTGATGACGGGATTATAACAAATATTGATCCATTTGTTAGGAGGTATGTTCTGTTCATGTAAATTTGCAATCACTTATTCTTAGCATATTATTTCTATAATTTAAGTTTTGCAAATCATGAGCATCATTTAGTAACAAATTTTAATTAAATAAATATAAAAATTAATTTCCCATTTTGTTGATTTCAAATCCTTCTTTTTTCATGTTTAAGAAGACTTTCATTAGACGGTAAGTGAACTGGCTTTTCTATCAGGACAGATAAAAGGAATGCATGTGGAATAGGTGTTCAAAATGCTACCAAGAAGAGGAAAATAAATGGAGTTTCTACAATTTAATATAGTAGTGCATTATAATAAGTCATCTTACATGCTCATAGTATAGTGAGTGATATTTCCAATACAAAAAGTATAAAATGGGTCAAACATTGGTTGTCTCTTAATATATTTGTAATAATGCTTAATAAATTGATGCTAATATAAAAAATATCAATTGTAGAATAATTATGTGGTCTGGTCCATTGGATTTGGGAATGAGATTTTGTTATACCTTCGTTATAATTTAAACTAGCCTCTCAAACCCCTTAACAGACTAATATTTTTATTTTTCAAAGCCATCACTACACTATTCTTACAGGATTCAAATAGGAGAATATGAATACCATGCATAATAATGCCCCCAAAAAAAAAAAATTCCAAAATTAAATTTCATCCATTTATTATTTCATTAAACAAAGTAGCTATGTAAAAATTCAAGTGATTATTGATAAAAGATTATAGAAAAACTACGTAGATAAGTTGGCTTTATAAAAGGATTCCGAAAAACTAACTGATCCGTTATACTGTAGAATTCTATTAAAGAACTCAAGCGCTCCAACATTCATCATAATTACAAAAAAATTGAAAGAATTCCTTTTGATATTTATACGTAAGGTGAAATTTGTTAGAATATATATATATATAGTATTTCGACAATAAAATTTAATATTATCTTCATAAATACTATTAAAATAAGTATATCGTATTATTAATTGAAACCCGTGAGGGAGCACGAGTATCTTTCTAGTGTATTTCTAAAGGAATGAACAAAGATGGCGATGGAATAAACAATGATAGCATCTTTGCATCCCTCGTTTAACATTACAGTGGATCTTAACAGACATATTCATCTAACTCATGATGACTAGGTTATTAGAAGGGAGATATCAATAAACAATGAAAAGGTATGGAAATTAATGATTTTAGTTTCGCGATAATTAAACAGAAGTCTACAAACCAGACTAACTTGAGCCTATACAAGTGTAGTTCACAAGTCACAAGGAAAACTATAAATGTAAGGATTAAGGTAAGAGCTTTACTTACAAACTGTTAAATTGTAGACACTCTTCAAAGAGTGCAGCACCAACAACACCAGAATTCTTAATCTGAAAAGACCCCTAAATCCTCTTTCAAAATTAATTAGATTCTGTACATGAAATCCCGGTTAAAACAAATGTTTTTGGTGTTTAATTGCAAAAGGAATTACCTCATGAATGTTATTAAAAAATGGCTTATACACGAAGCATGATTAAACAATTAGTGATTTTTCTTGCAACATGTTGGTTGAAGATTTCATGACATATCTAGTTTGTTAACTACTAATGAGGTTTAGCTCTTAAATCAAATATAGAGTCCAATAAACTTCCAAATCAGATATATCACCCAAGCCAATTTAATAACTGATATTAATTTGGACTCAACAAGCCAGAAAATGTGGTTTCTGAGTACCTAAGTTCAGATCCGGAGATAAGAAGCAATGCTTCCCAAGCCCTGGTTCCTGGGGCAAAACCTTTTGCAACAATTTTCTTGGTCAATTCCACAGCTTTAGTACACAAGCCCTTTTGGCACATCTGAAAAATGATATTATCAAATGTTGAAGATCTAGGATATAAACACTTCTCCAACATTTCCTCCAACAGAAGACATGCTTCACTAGGCTCAGCTTTATCAACCAAACCATCAAGCATGATCCTGTATGTATGCAAGTTGAGCTCAACACCCTTCAACACCATCTCCTTCATTATCCCCCTTGCCTTACCTAAATCCCCTGCTAAACACAAGGCAGCCAATAAAGTATTGTAAGTGACCACATTCGCTTTGCATCCTAAGTCATCCATAGAAGCAACAATCTGAAGTGCCTCATCTACATTGTTCTGCTTACACAAACCATTTATATACACATTATAAGTATAAATATCAGGAACCAGTCCAAATACAAGAATTTCATCAAACAGTTCATCTAACTTCATATATTCCGCCTCTGCTACCATCCCACTCAAGACCATAGTATAACAAACAATATCAGGTTTAAGTCCATCTTCTTTCATCCGGTTCAGAATCTCCAAAGCATCCATACCCCTCCCTTCCTTCACCAAGAACTTAATCATATTTGTACAATCCATGACACTAGGACAAAATCCTAGTTTTCTCATATCCCCCCAAACAACCAAAGCCTCAACACTGGTCAAATCCTTTTGTTCACACAATGATGATATTATCAAAGAACTTATCTTCCCATCCAAACTATACCCATCTTCTATCATAAAATTCAGTATCTTAATAGCATAATCCACCCTCTTAATTCTACACAAGGCCTTGATCAAAACCTGAAAAGTTGATTCCTCAATGCGAATATTCATATGCTGGCTCTTTAACAAGATCTGGGGCACCATTTTGAGCCACTCTCTCTTCCTACAAAGCAGTGAGAGAACCAAGTTCAATGAACAAACAGTTGGTGTGCACCTGAACTTAGGGATTCTGAAGAACAAATCAACAGCATCTTGGACCATGTCAGCAAGACCATAGAACCTAATAAGGTACACAAAGATGAATTCAGGTGTTTCAAACTTCTCCATGTGCTCAAGGTGGTCAAGAACAGGAGGAATGTCCTGCAATTGGGAAGTGTTGGTTAAGGTTTTGAAGACAAAGTAGTAAGCTTTTGGAGTTGGGTCACAGCTATAACCTTTGAAGGAATCAAGAAGAGTGGAGAGAAGAAAAGGGTAGTGAAGGTTGTGTCTTTGGGATTGTTGGGAAGAACGCATTTCAATAGTTGCTTGTTTGAGGATTTGCATAGCTTGTTCTTCACCAAAATTGTGGTGCCATGAAGTCTTGTAAGGAGAGTGTGGCCATTTTCTGAATTTTCTGAGGTATTTGTTGGCACTCTTGGATAAAGGGTGTCTCACCATTCGGATTTGACGAGGAACAGAGAAATAGCATAGAATGAACAAAGAATAACCAATTCTGATTTGGGATTGTCCGAAGAATGAACACAAACCAAAACCTTAAACTGAAACTTCTTTTAATAAAAGATTGTTGATAAAAAGTAATTTATCAATGATTGATATCAAAATAAAACTAGGAATATGGTATGAATTTAGGTCAACTAACTATTCAATTGATCCTTATTTTAAAAAACTACAAGTCATCTTTTTTTTGTCAACAAAAAATAATTACGAGTCTCAAAACGTTACAAAACGGTGAATCAAATCGGCCTGAAATATGACTTGAGCCCCATCCAAAAATACTTCAACTAGGTTCGATAATTAAGACTATTCTCTGTCAGTTTTAGGCTGACTTGACAATCATGAGCACCTTAAGTTAAATTTATATAAAATCAAAAGAAAATTATAAAATAAATTATATTTTTAATTTTTATAAACATGTTTAATTTTAAAATAGTCTCCATCACTATTTATTAATGATGTAATATATATTTAAACATATATACTACATAATAATATAAATAGATGTTTGTCATATCATCATTAATTAGTGAAAAAATATTTTAATTTTTTAAAAATTTATGTGGAGTAAAATAAACAAAATATTTAGATAATTAAAATTAAATTAAATTATATTTATAAAAATTAAAATTATATTTTTCTATAACAATATTGAAAATAAATCCTATATAATATGGATGGATGATGTTTACGTTTGTTTTTTGTACTACGTAACTTCTTATATATTCAGACTTAGTTCATTTCGTACCTGCGCATAATAGTCTCATTTCTTTTTATTTCATAAACAAAAAGTTGACACGTTCATCAATCATGACAAGTAATAGAGCGTGTTTCAATTGAAGTGCATGCAGCAATACACTTACAAGAACGTTTCTAATTAATAGACAAATCAAGAGTCAAAGAAAGAATGCAATTCAACCAAGTCATCTGGTATTTGAAGTTCATACTTATCTGCCAAGAAACCTCCCTCCAACTTGGTTGACCATTTCTAATCGCATAACATATATATATATAACAAGGTTTAGTACCGCAAACATCTGATTCTACAACAACATTAACAAGCAAACACATATATTCTTCTGCCACTCTTTGAACTTCAACTTTCGATATCATGGCAAACCCATCACCACCCTTTGCCACTGCCATCATCGAACCTCAGTACATTGCCCCTGGTATGTATCTTTATGCGGGTTGGACATATATTGCATGTTGATAATTAGAGGTTTATTATTAATTATATATATATAACTGCCATTGCAGGTCGAAATCACGTTGATCTGATCATCACGAAGGAGAGAACTAGAGGTGATAATTTCACTGTCACAGACATCAAGGGGAACATCATTTTCACTGTTAAGAGTTCTCGCGTAACCATAGTAACACCCCGCCAACACCTTTTCTTATTTGACGCTTACGGAAACCCAATTGTCCATCTTCGAAGAGCGGTTCGTTCATCGACTTCTCAATTCCTATCTTCATTTCCTATCTGTCTAACTTATGCGCCTCTTAAATTAATAAAATTTTGTTTGTAAAAAATTTTATTTATTTTTTTCGTATGCACATGATAAAATATTATATATACTATTTTTTTTATCAAAGTTATAAATTTTAATATAATTCAATACATTAATACTATTATCATGTGCATCAATATATCAATGTATATTTAACATGGAAAGTGTGCGATATGCATAGGTGGAGTCACATCTTCTTGTCCTAACATTTGATATGGAGTGATAATTGTGAGCAATGAAACATGTTATCTGTTTAAGGTAGGTTAATACGGAGTATAACAAAGGCATATATGCATGTGAAAGACAAAATTAAAAAATGTAGCATTCTTCGTATAACGTCGAATTGAACAATTACGTAATCAACATTTCATAATCAACGATTGAAATATTTTAAAGGTTGGATTTGAAACTTAACATGAAAGTTCTTCGATGATGCAGCTACTGGCAGCAAATGATAGCTGGGAAGCATTTAGAGGCAAAAGCACAGAACCCAGGGATCTTATCTTTATTCGGAAGCGATCCTCATTGTTCCAGCTAAGGACCAAATTAAATGTGTTCTTGGCAAACAATACCACTGAAGTTTGTGACTTCAAGGTCAAAGCAACTTGGTTTGGACATTCTTGGGATGTTTACATCGGTGATTCTGACACTGTTGTTGCCCAGGTTTGTTTTTTCAACACGTTGTATATGTTTATAATGAAAATTTAATAATAAAATATCAAATAATAAAATAATTAATTTCAAAAAATATAATAGAAGAATAAATTTAAAGATAGAAAGATGCGTTAAAATTATTGTTATTATTATTGGATAGCAAATTTAAGAAATTGAATCAACCTGCATCAAGCTCAGTTTTATTTGGGTTTAATTGTTCGGATTGAAAAATATGAATTTATTTGAATCTTGAATTTAATAACACAAACTCTGTATGTTTTGATAAATATATTCAAGCTGATCGACTCATTTGTCGACTTTAAAAATCATGTTTAAGTGCATTAAAAATAACTAGAAAAAAATGCATTCACAAAGTTTTTTAATAGTTTCTTTTATTTTTTTATCTTTGTCTTAAAGTCATTAGTGTTTGCATTTGGCTTAAAGATATTCTGTATATTGTTTGTTTTTGCTTTTGAAATTCTAGATGCCTGGCAGAGCTAATTACAATTGAAAAACAAAATTTATGGAGATATTTGCTTTTTTTGCAGATAAATAAGAAGCTTGGTACAATATTTAGCAGAGAAAAGTACCTTGTGACCGTCTCCCCGAACATCGATTATGCATTGGTTGTAGCGCTAATAGTAACTCTTGAAACTTGATTAACAACGACATGAGCAAGCGTAGTTCGCGAGGAAAATTAAGCTTTAGGCTTGTACTTTCTTATGGATTATTTTCAAAATGTCTCAATTTCTTGAAGATGTGTGTTCGATTCTTTTATTCTTTTTTCTTCTCTTCTAAATGGTATTCGGATTAAAGAACGTCATGATTGTAGTTCTAGTTTGCTTTCAATAGCTAGCCTGTTACCTATAACACCTTTATTTTTTTTATTTAAATAAACAAACTTTTATGTGAATAGAAAATAATTTAGTTAGTTTCACTCTCAAACTCTATAATAACAAAATTTACAAATTTTTTATTGTGAAAGTTTCATATTATTTTAAAGATAAAATTTTAAAACTTGAGATAATTAGATAAAATTTAACTTTATTTTTAACAAAACATATAACTCACTACGAATACATATAAAATTGATATTTTTGCTAAGGACGATAATGAAATAATTTTAACCAAATTGACCCAAATACTATAAATTCTAAATTTGGCCTTTAAAATCCTTTACACAATTTAATTATCACAAATTACAATTTGAATAAAATAGTACAATTTCTTAAACATTTCTAATCTCTACAGAGCAGTCTTCCCTTTAATACCTTGGACTATGATTCTAAGACGAGCAGACACCTTTCTCTCTTGACATTCATCATCTGAAAATATTGGTAAGGGTGAGTATCTTTCGCCCCACTAAATATCTGGTTTAACATAAATAAATATTCACATGCATAGACCGTACTTAATAACACCAATCAACAAGGATTAATTCACAATAACACTCAAATCAAACTTCTTACTATCACAAAATAATACACGCAAGATAAACAACTAATCATATTCACTAACTTTTATAACATGCATCTGCTTACTATCATGCACGTCACAATGCATGTTTTACAACATGTCAATCAATATGTCACCACACATGTGTCTCAATCATACCTGTCGATGTACTACAACACATATATCGCGACAACATCAACTAACATGACACAATGCATATATTTCAATTGCACCATTTCTATACTACCTCATGCACATCACCCTTTCACATTTACATTCAATGCCCCTAGGATCCCTTGAGGATTTCATAGCTTAGATAGTTGCCGGTTAGCCGCAGCAACACGGATACATGTGTGCTGACCCAGCCCTTTTTAGCAAAGATATAGTCAGGAGCCTCGTCAGGAAATGAGTGTGTGGCCTGTGAATGCTTTTATTTTCAGCAAATCGTTGTGCACTATCTACACAAGCATTCACCACTCTTATTTCCACAAGATTTTTCAAATCTTCTCCGGACTCTATACCCCCAGTTGTATCACTGTAGCTATCTAAACTTACCACCATATTTCTTATTCTTTCCACGCTCTTTTATAGAGCAACGAGTCATAATACGTGAGCCTTAACCAAATAATTTGGTGTATTACAATACATACATTATGAGTACGTCCTTGGATTGTACCACAATACTTGTATTGTAATTATATTTATTCATCTATTCTGACTCTCTTATTACAATTACTCTTTCCAGCATTTCATTCACATTCATATTCGCATACGACATACAGTGCCCACATTTAGTCACAACACACAACTTATATTCATTTTCAACAACATTCAATATGTCATCTACACCCATTTCTAACCATTTACTTTATTCAATCATCAACATGCTCACACACACTTGCATTTATGTTACCGGTTCACTCATTAGGCATATTTCAACTATTAAACAACACATATACAATAATCATGTCATTCATCATGCAAGCATCATCAACCAATCTCAACATACCTCAATCATCATTAAATATTCATCCAACATAAAATTTCATCACACAAGTTCACACGTCACACAATCAATACAAGGTGCCGGAGGTCGGACACCTCCAGATTCGGCCCAGTCATACAATCCATCACTCACATTTCTCAATAATAGCCATAGAGTCATCTATCCTAAGGTTGGACATTATTCTAACTACTCCCAAATGATATTTTCGCATTGAAAGTGTAATATTCCTTTAAGAACAGATTTATTCATAGCCTTTATTACAAATTACATTTAAATAGTAAACAAAATAGTTACGAATCCCTCATTTTAGCTACCCAAGAGAGGTTAGGGTTTGAGATTTACTCTTCCTTACCTTGGAATGGAAACCCACCACGAAATCAACGATAGAATAGCTCTCCACACGGATCCTTCGTCCCTAAACCATGGAAACCCCATGAGAAACCAAGAATACAAGAAGATGGGGCAAGAAACCGAAACCCTACTGATAAACTTACCTCCAAGCGTCTCAAACTTGATTTTAACCTTTAATCTAGCTCTCAAACCACTTTGGAGGCAATTTAATCGGTAGGAACGAGTTAGGAGTAGAGAGAATCGAAAGGATTTCAAAGGGAGGGATGAGAAATGGGTTGCTCGAACCATAAACCCTTCAAATACCCCTCTAATCGCGACATGCTCGCTACAACGACACATTCTCGCTGCAGCGAGAGAGGCCTCACTGCAGCGACGCCCTTGTCGCTACAGTGAAAAACTTAGAGAAAACTATACCTTGATTTCTGCAGAATCGAGAGGATCTCGCTGCAGCGAGACTGCATCCAGAAATGCACCTTAAATTGTCGCTTTATCGCAACAGCGAGAAAGCGACAATTTCACGTCTTCCTCCTAGAGCTCTCTACAGCGAGACATCTCTCGCTGCAGTAACAACTCTCTGCACCTGACACTTAGTCAATTTTTCAATCCGGTCCCAAACATATTCAAACACACTTGTACACATCTATAATCATCTCACGTATTTACACCACCATCCAATACACATCCTCATCAATAATTCAATATGAAAATTCCCATATATATATATATATATATATATATATATATATATATACATATATAGTAATTAAAATATTATTACAAAATTTGGGATGTTACACTACCCAGCCTTGGTTGATAAATTTATTTTTTTTGCTCTAAAAAAAACAATAATGATCATATATTCTTTTACTTTTCTAATAGTTTGTTAATTATTTTATTATTTGAATTTTTATTTTAAAATTTTATTTGCACATTACTTTTTAATTATATCTACAACAATTCACAATTTCAAACATAAATGATTAAATGAAGCCAACGAAAATGAGGTAACGGTAGTTATCTCCGCAAATACGATTATCATAACAAGTAAGGCAATCAATTTAGAGGTATATGAGATTTTTATACATGAATTGGTACGCATTACAGTGCTTAATTAGATATATTTATTAATTAAGTCAATAGTTATTTAATAAGGTAATGATAAAGACAAAAAAAAAAATTTAAAATTGAAAAAATCAAAGATAAAAACAAAACAAAAATAGAAATTAAAAACAAAAATCACTATATTTATAGAGATTAAAAATACATTTGAAACATGTTAGAATCATTAAGTTAAATAATCCTAAACCCCATATCGCTTCCTCTACGCTTAAAAGTAACTCAGCCAATATCGATGATAATTTAGGAAAAGTTTTATGCTAACATCTTAGACTCTTCATATAACTTAAGCGTGTGAGTAGTTTTTCCTTAAATGTAACACCTTATCATTATTTTATAGTTTATCAAAGTTTAAAGGAGTTATATATTACAAAGTAAATTTTATGTACCAAAACACTAAAGTAGACCAAACTTGAGTTATGTAGTATATGTATGTTACCCTGATATTATTTGTGGTTGAACAATATCCAACTTTGAGGAAAGTATATTAAACTCTATCCTAAGGTCATTTTAGTGGATGAGGCCCCAAATTAAAACTCATATAGAAGTTTTCAACGACTATGAAATCTTTTATAGATATTACTTTAATTAGTTATTAATATGAAAATCATTTAAAGAGAATCGAATGCATTTGTGTGTGAATGTTCCTTAAAATATATATATATATATATATATATATATATATATTATTTTTACTTAATTTTTTATAATATATTTACTTAATTTTTTTAAGTATGTATACTTTGATTTATGTAATTAACATTTCTACCAATGTTAGCTTTGGCTACTTTTAAAAAAATTGTATATTAGATTTATTTTGAATTGATGTTGTTGATTGTTTTTAAAAATTAAATATGTTTTCAGTTTTATAAAATTATTAAAATTTACTTTTAGTCATTATAAAAGAAATTTTTGTTTTAGCCCCTAACTAGTTAATGTAAAATATTTAAATTAGTCTATACTATTAATCTCAGTTAATTGCTACTTTAACTAACTCTAAGTAATCATATTGTTCAAAAGAGTTAGATATGTTTTTAAGCCCTATAAGATTATTAAAATTCATTTTTAGTCTCTAATATTTTTTCTATTTTAATCTCTACTTACTAAATCATGACATTAATTTATCTCTAAGATCTAAGAGAAATTGGACATATTCATCCATCTCTTATAGCAACTTGGGATTTAAATTTTCCATGTACTAATACAAAAAATCACATCAATTTATTAAAATTTATACTAGAAATAATTTTAATTTATCAGTAAATCATTTTAAAAAATTACAGACAACTAAAATATGACATAAAATTCTATTAGTGAAATCGATAATTAACAAAAACTTAGTAACAATAAAGACTAATTCCAAACAAATTAACTAGAAAATAAAATAAACTTTTCTATAATGATTAAAAAGTAAATTTTAGTGATTTCATACAGTTTAAAAATATATTTAACTATTATTATTATTATTATTATTATTATTATTATAATATAAAACTGTACTGATATTTTTATGATATTCTAACAAAAACATTTTATAAAATTATTAAGGGAAACTATTTTTTTCTTAAAGACGATGTCAACCTTAGAGAGGGAATTTAATTTTTTCTTTTATGAGTAACAAAAAATTATTTAAATTAGCTAATTAATAATAAAAAATTCTTTCTTTACCTTGAGAGTGAATTTTTTTCTCTCTAATTAGAAAATAATTTATTTTCTCTTTAATTAAAGAGA